GAACATCCGGTCTTATCGTGGATACGGCAACTCCGCCGAGCTCGCGTACAACCACCTGAAGAGCCTGTATCAAGCAACAGACAGTGTTAATCAAAGTCGTCTCATGGCACAGCTGACAACAGTGGAAATGAAACCCGGCGAAAAGGGGATGGCGTATATCAGCCGTTGTCGTGGACTGCGCGATAGACTCCTTCGATGCGGAGGATCGATATCCGAAGAAGCCTTCGTGACAGTTGTCATCACCGGCCTCGGTCCTCATTGGCGCTCCACTCGAGCTACCCTCCGAGCTCACGGGAAGATCTCCGAAGCGGCACTCTGCGCCGAAATTCACGCTGAACAGCAGGACATGGACCTACACGAAGAACGACACAAGAAAAGGGCGTCAGCACCTGAGTTCGCGTTTCACACTCAACGGCGTTACAACAACAACAACAACAACCGACAGAGCAAACATCACCAGTACGTACCGTCGTTCTGCCATCTCTGCAAGACGTCAGGACATCCTCGCACTCACTGCCCGAATCAGCAACAGTCAACACCGCCGCAGCGTCAGCTTCGACCCTCAAGCAGTCAAGTGGCTTCTACACAGGCGCATCCCACCAATCAAGTACAGTCGACATCGAGGACAAAACCTGCACAAGGCACAAGAAACATCGTGAGCTGCATGGCAAGAACGACAGATTCCTGCATCACCGGATCGCCACCGTACTACTCACCAGAAGAACAACTCGACGAAAGCACTCCTCGCCGTGAATCATTGGAGCCGAATCCGACGTATGCAGCCATTGCCCAAAGCGAGCCATCCCCAAAAAGATACTTGGTTCCTAGACAGCTGCTGTGGACAGCACATGTGCTCTTCGGGTCGCTTCGTACAACGAGAGCAGCAGCTTCATCGCGAAGTCGTGATCACTGTCGCCAACAATCAGAACCTGCGCACACGACGACAAGGAGTAGTTCAACTTCAGTCTCGAGAAACTAACGTTATTCTTCACATGTCAAAGGTTTTAATCGCAGAAGGACTCGGCTACAACTTACTCAGCGTCAGTCAACTGATGGCGAAGGGAATTCATCTTGAAGCCGACAGCACCACCCAGGAGTTTAAGCTGTACAACGGGAAGGGAGGACTCTACATTGGAAAAGCAGTACTGAAGAATAATGTCTTCGTCCTCGACTTTGTTCCAGACCAAGGCACCGCCGATAGCGACGCAATAGTCAACTTCACCTCTTGGACACATCCGCCAGATCTCGACCCCGACTTCAGTCCCGGAGGCTTTTGGTACTCGCACACCATACATGAAGCAGAACGGACGAGAGCGTTAGCAACAATCCAATAGACATCAGAAGCAGAGACAACAACGGCAACAGCAGAGACAACAACGGCAGCAGCAGAGACAACACCGGCAGCAGCAGAGACAACACCGGCAGCAGCAGAGACAACATCGGCAGCAGCAGCGACAACACCGACTGCGACACCAATCGCGGGTCCGTCAACAGCACCAATCTTAATCGACACTCCACCAACTCCTGCGCAACAGCTAATCCCCGTTCCACGCGACGTTCACCGAAGCGCCAACATCACCGCAAGCTTCTACTCCAACTCCGATTTATACAGGCGTTCACCTGGACATCGCGCCGACGAATCATTATGGCATCAAAGGTTAGGACATCCCAGCAACACAGCGCTGAACAACACGATAAGAGCAGGAGTACTTGATAAAGACTCGCTACTCTTACCCGACGGCAGAGAACTTCAACGAGTTCGAGGAACGTGCTTTACCTGCCCTGAAGCCGACTTACCTCATCAGCCATTCGTCTCTCACCACAACCCAAGCGCGCCGGCATACGCACCACTGGAGAAGGACTACAGCGACATACTGTTCAACCATGAAAATGGACAAGGAGCGTACAACTACGTCATCACGTTCATCGACGCCGCCACCCGTTACGTCTGGCACCTCAACCTTCCGAGCCGCGACATGGCCTTCGAAGCCTTCGTCGCCTGGCTTCCAGTAGCAGAACGAGAATCAGGAGTGAAGCTGAAAAGCTTCCAGTCAGACGGGGGAGGGGAATATCAGTCACAGAGGTTCAAGCAGTACCCTCATCAACAGCAAGGCGTGGCAGAAAGAATGAACAGGACCCTCCAGAAAACCATGCGTAAACTGCTATGTGGCATGAGGCTACCCAACCACCAGTGGCCCGAGGTGATGGACCACGCTGTAATGCTGCGCAACTTGCTCTCGTCATCATCGCTCCCGAACAACGCATCACCGCATCTGCTGTGGACAGGAAAATTGGGCAACACAAAAATATTACGAGTGTTCGGCTGCATGGTACAGTACCGACCCCCAGCTGCACGTGCCGGTCGATTCTCCCAACGCGCACAATGGGGACTACACCTGGGCATTGAAAAACACTACAACGCGTGGAAGATTTTCGACGTCCACACGAAGGAAACAGTGGCAGCACGTGACGTGATCTTCTATGAACGTCTCACACTTCCGACATACCTGTACAACTTGGAAACAGAACGAGACGCCACAGGCGGATTTCGTGGGGACCGAGCCATCGCTTCGGCAGCAGATGAAGCTGACTGGGACGAGCAGAACGTGGACAGAGCTTCGGAAGAAGCCGGACCTCTTCCCTACTGTTCGGTGGATATCCCAATGGACGACGACAACCCTCGCGAAAGCATCAACGCCGAAGTCTTCTACGACTTCGCTGACAACGGTTACGTTACAGATCACCCGGTCGACACCAACATTTCCGAACGCGTATGGCCCAATTCCCTACCTGATCCAGAAGCGGGAGACGAAGCAGCTTATCCAGAGGAACCAACACTCCCCCGCTACACACTGAGTGGGCTGCAGATACTGGGACTCGTCACCGCCGTCCACGGAGCAGAGCCACCGAAGGAGCCTGCAACAGTTCAGCAGGCTCTGGGGGGGGAGCACAGGGAAAAATAACACGAAGCCATGGACGGAGAGTTAAAGGCGCTGGAAGAACGCAACATCTGGAAAATCGTACCTATCGGAGTGGCACGCAACAAAACCATTCTCACGGGAAAATGGGTTTTCCGCGTGAAGACCAAAGCCGACGGTACCATTGACAAATTCAAAGCACGATGGGTCGTGCGTGGCTTCGACCAAGAGCACGGACGAGACTTCACCGAGACCTTCGCTCTAGTTAGTCGACACACATCACTCCGAATTCTCCTCGCGATAGCCGCCATGAAGCGGAAGAAGCTCCGACAAATCGACGTCGCCAACGCCTTTCTCTACGCCCCCGTCGATGCCGAGATCTTCGTCGAGCAACCACACGGCTCTAACGCAGACCCCAACCAAGTCTGTCAATTGCTGAAATCACTGTACGGCATCAAGCAAGCCCCGAGGCTGTGGCAGCAGTACCTTCACGCCCGACTCATTCGCATCGGATTCCGCCAATTACCACACGACCAAGGAATGTACCGACTTACGAAGGGCGCCGACTACATCTTACTCATCGTCTATGTGGACGACCTGCTCTACATCGGCTCAACCGACGGCATCACAACCTGGTTCGAAGGGGAGCTGCAGCGGGACCTCACGCTCACCTTCTCGTCTACCGTGACACAGTATTTGGGACTCAACATACAAGACAGAGAAAGCGCAATCTACCTCAGCGCCGCAAAATACGCCGACACCATCGCCAAGCGCTTCAGACCAACTCCAACCGCCATCACTACACCACATTGCTACACCGACGGAAGCCACAAGGAAAAGACCACTCTACTCAAACCCGCCGGCATTCGCGACTACCAACGAAAGCTAGGATGTCTACTCTTCGCAGCCGTTACCTGCCGACCGGATCTATCGTACTCAGCAAGCCAACTCGCTACCTACCTCAAGAAGCCTGAAGCATAGCACATGGCGGAGCTCGACCGTGCACTTCACTACCTCGTCAGCACCCCGACGATCGGCCTAACCTACCACAAGACCGAAACTACGACGCCTAAGCTAATCGGTTATGTGGATGCTGACCACGCCGGCGACTCCGACAACAGACGATCGTGCACCGGCTACATCTACCGACTCGAGCCTATTGGCCCCATCTCGTGGCAGTCGAGCAAACAAGAGCTAATTGCTCTCTCCTCAGCTGAAGCTGAATATATCGCACTCTGCTCAGCCACCAAGGATTGTACCTCCGCGAACTACTGGAAGAAGCGAAGCTGGCTCAGTTACCCAGCTTCTCCCAGTTCTGCGACAACCAATCAGCAATCCGCATAGCGAACAAGAGCGGGTTCGCGAATCGTACGAAGCACATCGCCCTGCGATATTTCTTCGTGAAGGACGAGATCGAGAAGGGGAGACTCGAGCTGTCCTACTGCCCCACAACTGAAATGGCAGCTGATTACTTGACCAAGAAACTCGGAAAGCAGAAGTTCGAGTACTGCATGTTGCTGACTGGACAAGGCCACGTCACCAGCAACGACACTCCAGAAACGAAGGGGAGTGTTGGAAACAAGTGATTTAACGCTTCTGATGTGTCGGAACAACGAAACTGCAAGCGAGGCAGATTACAGTGAAGCAACAGCGAGTCAACCAAGGAGGTTGACAAACGTAACACCTGGAGGTTACGCGAAAGTCAAAGGTCGCCGACCTTTGACTTGACAAAGGCAGCGCGACAGCAAGGACAAACAACTGACTCGATACTGAGCAGTTGCCCGAGTCGTCGCTGTATCGAACCGCAACAGCAACAGTAAAACAGTTGGTTGCATCCTTTCATATTCCTTGTAATCATATATAAAAGCCTTGTATTACTTTGCTATAATCAATCTCTTGCTCTCATATTACTTTGCTATAATCAATCTCACACACTAGTGCAAGCTGGTTCAACAGTTCATTAAGAACGCTTCCGCAATTACAACATCTCTACTCAGGGTCTTAGCCTTGCAACGATCCTAAGGGCTTTTCTCAGCCCAACAGCTGTCTCCTTCCACCTGGCCTCCATCACTTGTGCTTGGCTCATTGAAGCATCACCAGCAGTACTAGCATGGGCCAATCCGTGTCCTCAAGCCGTCTCAGAACACACACATTATTCTCGCAACACTCTTCCTTCCACCCAACACCTCTCACTTGTGCTTGGCCCGCTGCAGTACAAAGGTCATCAGCTTCACAGCAAGCCCCATACACAGCAGCACCAGCATGGGCCACTGTGTCCATCCACCCGCTTATTCTTGCTATCCTTTCTGTCTCCATCCACCCAACACCGCTCACTTGTGCTTGGCCCGCTGCAGCCTCACCAGCAGCACAAAGGTCATCAGCTTCACAGCAAGCCCCATACACAGCAGCACCAGGAGGCACTCCCACTTGCCCAGCTGATCGATCGACCTCTCTGCCAGCACCTGTGCCCCGGTCAACAAGCATGTTGTGGCACCCACAGGTACGCCAGACTGACCGCCAGCTGGTGCCGTGGGATTGGTGGGAGACGAGCCGCCTGATGCCCCCCCTGGGATTCCCGAGGTGCTGCTGATAGTCATGTAGCAGGGCTCGGGCCTGGAGGAGATTGGGTGGGGTGAGGTGAGGTGGGGTGGGGTGGGGTGGGGTGGGGTGGGGTGGGGTGGGGTGGGACGGGATGGAGTGGGGTGGGGTGGGACGGGATGGGATGGGATGGGAAGGGATGGAATGGGATGGGGATGGGATGGGAATGATGGGGGATGGAACGGGATGGGGGATGGGGGATGGGGGATGGGATGGGATGGGATGGGATGGGATGGGATGGGATGGGATGGGATGGGATGGGATGGGATTCAAAAGTCGAATATTCATTATCTATGGCTGGGAAGAACAAGAAAATTCAGGGTAAATAGCCTCGGTCCTCACCTGTCGAATTGGTTTATAGCGAGAGCTTCATAGGAGTATTTGAAGGGCGACAAGTAGTGTAGCCATATGAGCGTATTGGGCATTTGCTTCCTTGTAACGAAGAAGCCACTAACGAGGTAGAAGTAGGACATGATTGAGATGGCAGTTGCGTATGCCAGTACCACACTGCAAGGAGGGGGGGGGTGGTGATGGGGAAACATGGAGAGCACAGAGCGGGAGGAGATGAGAGGGATGGCAGTTGCATATGCCAGTACCACACTGCAAGGAGGGGGGGGGTGGTGATGGGGAAACATGGAGAGCACAGAGCGGGAGGAGATGAGAGGGATGGCAGTTGCATATGCCAGTACCACACTGCAAGGAGGGGGGGGGTGGTGATGGGGAAACATGGAGAGCACAGAGCGGGAGGAGATGAGAGGGATGGCAGTTGCATATGCCAGTACCACACTGCAAGGAGGGGGGGGGTGGTGATGGGGAAACATGGAGAGCACAGAGCGGGAGGAGATGAGAGGGATGGCAGTTGCATATGCCAGTACCACACTGCAAGGAGGGGGGGGGTGGTGATGGGGAAACATGGAGAGCACAGAGCGGGAGGAGATGAGAGGGATGGCAGTTGCATATGCCAGTACCACACTGCAAGGAGGGGGGGGGGTGGTGATGGGGAAACATGGAGAGCACAGAGCGGGAGGAGATGAGAGGGATGGCAGTTGCATATGCCAGTACCACACTGCAAGGAGGGGGGGGGTGGTGATGGGGAAACATGGAGAGCACAGAGCGGGAGGAGATGAGAGGGATGGCAGTTGCATATGCCAGTACCACACTGCAAGGAGGGGGGGGGTGGTGATGGGGAAACATGGAGAGCACAGAGCGGGAGGAGATGAGAGGGATGGCAGTTGCATATGCCAGTACCACACTGCAAGGAGGGGGGGGGTGGTGATGGGGAAACATGGAGAGTACAGAGCGGGAGGAGATGAGAGGGATGGCAGTTGCATATGCCAGTACCACACTGCAAGGAGGGGGGGGGTGGTGATGGGGAAACATGGAGAGCACAGAGCGGGAGGAGATGAGAGGGATGGCAGTTGCATATGCCAGTACCACACTGCAAGGAGGGGGGGGGTGGTGATGGGGAAACATGGAGAGCACAGAGCGGGAGGAGATGAGAGGGATGGCAGTTGCATATGCCAGTACCACACTGCAAGGAGGGGGGGGGTGGTGATGGGGAAACATGGAGAGCACAGAGCGGGAGGAGATGAGAGGGATGGCAGTTGCATATGCCAGTACCACACTGCAAGGAGGGGGGGGGTGGTGATGGGGAAACATGGAGAGCACAGAGCGGGAGGAGATGAGAGGGATGGCAGTTGCATATGCCAGTACCACACTGCAAGGAGGGGGGGGGTGGTGATGGGGAAACATGGAGAGCACAGAGCGGGAGGAGATGAGAGGGATGGCAGTTGCATATGCCAGTACCACACTGCAAGGAGGGGGGGGGTGGTGATGGGGAAACATGGAGAGCACAGAGCGGGAGGAGATGAGAGGGATGGCAGTTGCATATGCCAGTACCACACTGCAAGGAGGGGGGGGGTGGTGATGGGGAAACATGGAGAGTACAGAGCGGGAGGAGATGAGAGGGATGGCAGTTGCATATGCCAGTACCACACTGCAAGGAGGGGGGGGGTGGTGATGGGGAAACATGGAGAGCACAGAGCGGGAGGAGATGAGAGGGATGGCAGTTGCATATGCCAGTACCACACTGCAAGGAGGGGGGGGGTGGTGATGGGGAAACATGGAGAGCACAGAGCGGGAGGAGATGAGAGGGATGGCAGTTGCATATGCCAGTACCACACTGCAAGGAGGGGGGGGGTGGTGATGGGGAAACATGGAGAGCACAGAGCGGGAGGAGATGAGAGGGATGGCAGTTGCATATGCCAGTACCACACTGCAAGGAGGGGGGGGGGTGGTGATGGGGAAACATGGAGAGCACAGAGCGGGAGGAGATGAGAGGGATGGCAGTTGCATATGCCAGTACCACACTGCAAGGAGGGGGGGGGTGGTGATGGGGAAACATGGAGAGCACAGAGCGGGAGGAGATGAGAGGGATGGCAGTTGCATATGCCAGTACCACACTGCAAGGAGGGGGGGGGGTGGTGATGGGGAAACATGGAGAGCACAGAGCGGGAGGAGATGAGAGGGATGGCAGTTGCATATGCCAGTACCACACTGCAAGGAGGGGGGGGGGTGGTGATGGGGAAACATGGAGAGCACAGAGCGGGAGGAGATGAGAGGGATGGCAGTTGCATATGCCAGTACAACACTGCAAGGAGGGGGGGGGGTGGTGATGGGGAAACATGGAGAGCACAGAGCGGGAGGAGATGAGAGGGATGGCAGTTGCATATGCCAGTACAACACTGCAAGGAGGGGGGGGGTGGTGATGGGGAAACATGGAGAGCACAGAGCGGGAGGAGATGAGAGGGATGGCAGTTGCATATGCCAGTACAACACTGCAAGGAGGGGGGGGGTGGTGATGGGGAAACATGGAGAGCACAGAGCGGGAGGAGATGAGAGGGATGGCAGTTGCATATGCCAGTACAACACTGCAAGGAGGGGGGGGGTGGTGATGGGGAAACATGGAGAGCACAGAGCGGGAGGAGATGAGAGGGATGGCAGTTGCATATGCCAGTACAACACTGCAAGGAGGGGGGGGGTGGTGATGGGGAAACATGGAGAGCACAGAGCGGGAGGAGATGAGAGGGATGGCAGTTGCATATGCCAGTACAACACTGCACAGGAGGGGAGGAAAGGAGGATGGATGGAGGGAAGGAAGTAATGCGGGGAGTGGTAAGAGAGGGGAAGTAGGGAAGTAGGAAAGGAGGGAAGGAGTGAGGGCTTGCACATGAGAAAGGGCTTGCACTGCTTGCACATGGGAGATGGATGCATGGATCGGCGAGCTGGTGAGCATGAGGAATGGGGCAAGAACACATGATGAGCGGGATCTTCTCAAATGTGTTACCCCACCCAAATCTTGAGTTTCGAGGCGCCTCAAAAGTCGTGCTGGTGAGCACGAGGAATGGGGCAAGAAGACATGGCATGATGAACGGAATCTTCTCAAATGTGTTGACCCCACTCAAAGATTGCCACATGTGAAAAACCCTACGCCAAAGAGGTGCATTCAGGTGTTGGCATGTGATGAGCGAGAGCGAGAAACCACATGAGTGAGGGCGAGAAACCACATGAGTGAGAGCGAGAAACCACATGAGTGAGAGCGAGAAACCACATGAGTGAGAGCGAGAAACCACATGAGCGAGAGCGAGAAACCACATGAGTGAGGGCGAGAAACCACATGAGTGAGAGCGAGAAACCACATGAGTGAGAGCGAGAAACCACATGAGCGAGAGCGAGAAACCACATGAGTGAGGGCGAGAAACCACATGAGTGAGAGCGAGAAACCACATGAGTGAGAGCGAGAAACCACATGAGCGAGAGCGAGAAACCACATGAGTGAGGGCGAGAAACCACATGAGCGAGAGCGAGAAACCACATGAGTGAGGGCGAGAAACCACATGAGCGAGAGCGAGAAACCACATGAGTGAGGGCGAGAAACCACATGAGCGAGAGCGAGAAACCACATGAGTGAGGGCGAGAAACCGCATGGGTGAGAGCGAGAAACTGCATCCATGTGCATCCCAGTGTGACTCACTCCTTGACGCATATGCTGACACATGTCGCGATGGCATTGGCTGTGAAGAACATGACGAAACACGCCACCACCATGAACACGAAACCCTCTCCGCCGCCCGCAAGGTTGATGCTTCCCCAGGAGACGGCGGTGAGAAGCAAGGCCATGAGGATGTGTAGTGGCAGGTACACCAGGGTTGATGACACGAGGTAGGTTGATGCCCTGTACGCGTTATTGGCAGATTCCCTTGTGAATATTGCGCATTCCTGGTGGTGTAGGAGAGTAGACGATTGAAAGGGGAGTGGGGGATGAGGCGGACGTTTTAAAATCATTGAATGTATCGCTTTAGAATGAATGCAACGCACTGGATTGAATGCAACGCTGAGATGAATGGAACACATTGCAATGAATGCGACCTCAATGAATGAATGTAAAACAAATAAGTGAAAGCAGCAGATCACATTCCTGACGACTCTAACACACCTCAATCTCATTCCTGACCACTCAAACACACCTCGATAAATATCGGCACAGCATCGCACGAGGTGTAGAAGACGATGCAGGAGGCACAGGACAGGAAGGAAAGCCGGATCGTCACCCCTTCTTTCCTGCAGTGAACAAACGAGCGAGGCACGAGAAAACAAATGAGGGAGGCACGGAGAAAACAAATGAGGGAGGCAAGGAGAAAACATTCTTTAGCATACAAATCTAGAGAGGAAAATTGCACCACCATCAGCCAGAATGCAAAGGGAACGCCGACACGAGAAGCACAGTGAAGAATGAGACCGAGTGAGACGAGTTTTGAAGTGCCTCACAACAACTAGTCATGCACTTATCTAATCCCCTGATTGACCACCATCCACTCAATCCCACCATTCTCTAAACCTTCGTTGAACCTCACCAGTCACTTTCAGTGAACCTCACCAGTCACCTCCAAGCCTGGCACCGGACCTGACCACCATTTCCGAACCTCGCTGCTGAGCTGACCAGCAACCACCCAACCTAGCACCAGAGCGGACAACCCATTACCAACGCACCAGACCTGACCAGCAACCACCCAACCTAGCACCAGACCAGACAACCCATTACCAACGCACCAGACAGGACCAGCAACCACCCAACCTAGCACCAGAGCAGACAGCCCATTACCAACGCACCAAACCTGACCAGCGATGCCATGACACACTTACGTTTCTTCTGGCTTCCAAAAGAGAATCGCCAGAAGCACACCCGTTATAAGGATGAGCGCCAGCCTCAGCAGGTACAGCGCAGGAGTGCGCATGATGTTAACAGAAGCTCTCCTAGTCAACACCCAAAGCTCCCCAAACCATCCATTTGCATATTGTGAGCCTTTAAGCTCTTTCTCCTTCCCCACCGCCTCCTGCTTCACTTTGCCCAGCCGAACCCAGGGTAAATTCCCCTTGAAATTCGCTGGGCTACCCGCATCGCTGGGCACCTCCAGGGCCTTCCGAGCTACCATCACAGGGTCGGCCACACCGGCTTCGCAGGCTTGGGCATAGGCTTGGATGTCTGTCACACCCTGGGCTTGCAACACGGCCATGACATCCAAGCCATGCTCTGTGCTGTTTGAGCCTTCTGGAACCGGGCTACCAAGAGATGAGAGGAATTTTGGGAGGCCGGCAGGTGGGCCCAAATAGGCCGCCTGGCCTACGCCTAAGAGAAGTAGCTTGTCGATGAGACAAAGGACACGATATGATGGCTGTTGAAACAAAAACAAAAGGAAGGGGAGGGGGGGGGAGGGGGGGGGGGGGTGGAGTGGGGGATAGGGTGGGGAGGGGGGGAAGGGGAAGTTGTGTGGAGGCGTTAGGAAATGTAGTCTGTGTTGATGTAGTTGATACTGAGTTGGGAAATAACTCAGAATGTAGATGGATGTAGACTGACCTGATGAATCACCATCACGGAAATGCTCGCAGTCTGGATCGCGACAGACTTGATAGCGCGTACAACGCGAAAGGCATTGGTTGAATCCAACCCCGAGGTTGGCTCGTCGAGAAACAGAATCTTCGGGTCGCTGACCATCTCCACCCCTATCGCCACTCGCTTTCGCTCACCGCCAGAAACGCCTCTGCGAAAGCAAGAAAGGGTAACAGGTTGGGAACAGTAACAGCTTAATTTACCTGTACATGTACATACGTCTGGCCTGTAGTTTTGAAATGACACAGGCCACACGCGCAATGATGCAACACAACGCACAACTTCTAGGTTAGTGGAAGAAGCGGCTTTCATCGTCTCCCGCGTTTGGCGCTCACCTTTTCTTTTCGCCGCCAATCAGCGTCTCCGCCACTTTCGCCAGCCCAAGCAGGTCGATCAGCCGCGCGACCTTATCCTCTTTTTCGCGTCGCGGAAATCGCGGCTCCAGGCGCAACTCCGCAGCGTACATGAGCGTCTCGCGCACCGTGAGCGACGCAAACAACACGTCGTCCTGCATCACGTACGCGGAGACGCGCCGCATCATCCCCGCGCTTACCTCCTCCCCGTCTAACTCCACCGTCCCCTTCCGCCGCCCGGATGAGATCCGCTGCGCCAAGATGTTCAGCAGCGTCGTTTTTCCGCCTCCGCTTGCTCCCATGATAGCGGTCACCTCCCCCGATCGCGCTTCGCCGTTCACGCCCGTTAGGATCTGCCGCCGAACGCGCTTCTTGCGCAAACCGCCGAACATGCCGCCGCCTGGCGCGGCGCTGGTTTCGCCGCCGGTTGCAACTCCATCCGCTCCCGGCGCACCAGCTGGCGCCACGGAAGCCTCCTAAAACCCCTGCTGAGGCTGCATTCCGGGGACATTCGCAAGCGTGCTGTCCTGCCGCGCGAATTGCGGGCCGGCAGCGGAAGGCTCCCCCTTGCGCTGCTTGACAAAGACGGAGTAGCAGATGTTGCGGAAGGTCAGCACAGAGGCGGGGGCGGCGGAGGCTTCGTCCGCGGAAGGCGCGAACACCTTGCTTGCGGCGTCGCGTTTGAGCGACTCGATTTCGATCGTCAGATCCTCGGATGACGCCGTGGAAAGCGCGTCGCTGTCATCGTCGGAAGAGTTGGTGTCGTCGTCGGAAAAATCGTAGTCGTCGTCAATGTCTTGAACGACAACGTGGTCGCGATTGTGAATCGCCGGCCGCTGCGGGGCCGCGGCGGTGCCATTTTCTGCAGGGACAGCCATTTCGGACCTACTACTACTATTAGTGCCTAGGTTGGCGCGCGACGAGGAGGCTTCGGAAGGATACGAGGGGTCACGACCAGAATTTTTTTGTTTCTTTGTTTTAATTGCTTCTGGGAGGCGCAATCTGATATGGACAAATAGAAGACGCGACGGGATTATAAATCGAGGTGTTCTATTAGAGCAGGAGTCCCGACGCCTTGGGTACAATTCACGGAGGCAATGATTATTGCGACAATTATTGCCTGATAAGAAGCTTCTACCTTCAAAAGCACACGAAGCCGAAACCTTTCAGCCCGCATTCCCTCTGTCGTAGGCAGCTCGATGCGGAATTTCCTGCTAAGCCGAGTCCGTGAACCCGTGATACCCGCTTTCTGTGAACCAGATGTAACACTGGCGCACACGAAAACTCTAGAAAGAAGTGTGAAATAATTGTGCCAGGAGGGAGGTTGGTTGGTTTGGGGGACTCCTGGCTTCACGTGCTGAAGGCGCTTCGCGGGCTGGGAATCTGCGACCTTTAACCGCTCTAGAAACCTCCGGAACGTACAGAACCACCAGTCGATTCAGAAATTTGCTCGGAGGATAGCTGCATCTAGGGGAATTGGATCCAGGACCAGCAATTTCGCGGCTCGGACTCCAAGGAAGAAGTTGCTAGGAGAGAATCGGTCACAGCACTGGCAGAAATAACAGCAATAATGTGTCGTACACTTATAGTGCTGCATTCATAAAAAGGAACGAAATAGAAGCAATCAATACATAATAAATTTATCAATTTCATCTGCAGACAATTAGGTACCTGTAAAAAAAAACAAAATTCATCCCAAACTCGGAGTGTACCTCCGAGAACGGGTGGAAGTGCGGGTACAAATATATGAAGATATCATAACCAACTGGTCGAAACAGGTGGTGTTAACTACAGGTACTAGATATGCAAGTGCACAATGAAAAACAGAGAACAGAACCTATCAGCTCTCAAAGTAGGAACACAACGGAATGAATGAACTAGGAAGGTGAGTCATACAAATAACAAACCTAGAAAGTGTTGTACTCTCTACAGTGCTACTCACTACAGCCTATTATAACTATGTGCAACATTTGACACACCCCCATAGGCTAAGTGAGGGGCATCAAAGCAAGCAGGGTGAACAAACGGTCACAAGACCAGTCAAGACAAGAAGCAAAGCAAGCTCAGGGTGGATCTCAAGGACACCACACAAATTCCGAGCACAAGCAAGCGACCACAAGGCCAGTTCAAGAGTTTACTAGGATATATATAGCAAAGCACAACAAGCAGAGCAAACAGCAAGTATACAGCAACCGAGGTCCTACCTCAACAAGCCCCAACTGCACACAGAACCTGTGGTGGTCACCAGGCGCCAAGGCCTTGGTGAAGACGTCGGCAGTGTTGGCCTCTGAGGCCATAAAGTCCAAGAGTGCCGGGCCGCGTCGCTGCAACTCTCGCAAGAGGAAGTACCTTACGTCAATATGCTTCACTCTGCTCTCCAGTCGAGGCTCTCGACACAGGAGGATCATGGCCTTGTTGTCAGCGTACAAGGTCGGTACAGAGCGAGGCCGCATACCAAGGTCGGCGAGCAAGAAGGTCAACCAGCGAAGCTCCTGTGCCGCCATGGCACCAGCGTAGATCTTTGCCTTTGCATTGGACGAAGCCACAGACGACGACCATATAGACATCCACGACACAGCACCAGCACCCAGACTGAAGCAGTAACCCAGAGTCGAACGCTGAGTCTCCACGTCGTCAGCGTAGGAAGAGTCGCAGTGACCGGTCAACACAACTGGTTGTGTCCCTCCAAGCACAAGCCTTATGCCTGATGTAGTCGCCAGGTACTTCGCCACCCTCACAGCAGCTGTCCAGTGAACAGGACGGTGTCTCCCAGTCGCAACAAAGCGAGAGAGGACACTGAGGGGAAAGGCGAGGTCCGCCCGAGTATAAGTCATCAGGTACATGAGGCAGCCCACGAGCTCTGCGTAGGGGCCACTAGACTCAAAGGGCTCATCGGGAAAAGGGAAAGTAAGTCGGTGGTCAACGGCAAGAGGAGTGGGCTGTGTGGTGGAGAACTGAAACCCGAACCGCCGAAGGACTTGCTGCACCATGTGTGACTGAGTCAGTGTGATGGTGCGAGCGGCTCTGTCCCTGGTGATCTGCAGGCCAAGGTAGCGCTGCAGTTCACCGAGGTCAGTGCACGTGTGTCTCTTCTGCAGTTCGGACTTCACCTGAGCCAGAGCTGCCTTGTCTGCTGTGGCAAAGACCAAGTCGTCGACGTACACTAGTATAAAGAAAGGAGTGGAACCAGTGCGAACAAACAGCGACGGGTCGGCAGAGGAAGGACAAAACCCAAGGTCACGAAGCGTGGAGCGAAGAGTGTCGTGCCACTCACGGGGCGACTGGCGGAGACCGTAGACTGGCCGTCTCAGGCTCCACTGGGTCCCAGGTGGGAAGGTGTCAGTGAAGCCAGGAGGGCGGCGCAGCCAGATCTCCTCGTGTAGCCGGCCCTGGAGAAACGCAGTAGAGAAGTCAAGGGAGTGCAGCTCGTAGTCTCGCTGTGCTGCTACGTGCAGTATCACCCGAAGAGTAGTCATCTTCGGGGTCGGGGCGAAGGTCTGGAAGAAGTCAACTGCCTCACGCTGACTGAAACCCCTAGCCACGTAGCGCGCCTTGAATACAGGCGGTGAACCAGGCTGCCGCTTCACCTTGAAGAGCCACATGCCATCGACTACGTTCGCCCTGGGAGGGGGAACTGCGTCGACGTAGGTGCCTGTGGATCTCCAAGACGCTAACTCCGAGGCCATAGCCGCTTTTCACTGAGAGGCCCACTCCCCTGACACTGCCTCACGGTACGTGCGAGATGTTGGTATGTCAAGGGCGTCGGGATCTCCCTCAAGGGAAAGTTGCATGGCGCAGAGAGAGGGGGAAGCGGCTGCTAAGAACTCCAGCCCAAACGGCCTGTCCTCTAGGACGTCACAGCCAAGGGCAGACTCACCCCCGACGGACAGAAGACGGGGAGGTGGAGCAGCCATCACACGCGTGGCGTTCTCAAGACGGCGGGTGGAAGCAAAGTCAGCGATAGCGGCAGTAAGAGCCGAGACAGACGACGGAGAGGCACGAGGGTCGGTGACAAGAGAGGCGAGAACACGAGAGACAACAGGGCGAGCAGCACGGTAGTAGTCAGTGATAGGGTGAGAGGAAACGGTGAGAGACGACTCAGGAGGCGAGGGGAGAACAGACGCAGGCGAAGAACGACGAGGACTAGAATGGAACAAGACAGTGCGGAGGTCGGCAAGAGGAGACGAGGGCCGAGCACGCGGAGGACAACGACTGGTCCAGTCGTGCGGGACAACAGGAGGAGACGATTGTGACTGAGGAGGAGAGAAAACAACTGGAGCCGAGTTCGGAGGAGGAAACGTAGGGCCGTACGCGGTGGGAGACGGCGAGGGGACAGGAGTAGTAGAGGGAAGACCAAGGGCCCGAAGGCCACTCACTGGTGGGAACAGCTGCTGCAAAGGTGGCGGCTGCGGCGAACGCTGCTGCTGCTGTTGCTGCTGCCACTGCTGCGGCGGCTGCTGCTACTGCTGCTGCTGCTGCTGCTGCTGCTGCTGCTGCTGCTGCTGGTCCAACCGCTGCAGCTCCCGCCTCTCCTGCTCCAACCGCTCCTGCTCCTCGCGCTCAAGTCGGCGAAGGGCGTGGAGACGTGTGTCGTGGCGGTGGGGAGGCGCAGTAATCGTGCCTCCAGCTCCTGTCTCCTCAGTACTAGCTCCTACAGCGTCAGCACCTCTTGCTCCAGCACCCCCAGAACTAACACCACCAGCGCCAGTACCTCCAGCTCCAGTACCCCCAGAACTAGCGCCACCAGCGCCAGCACCTCCAGCTCCATCACCCCCAAAACTAGCACTTCCTGTGCCAGGACCTCCAGCTCCAGCACCCCCAGAACTAGCGCCACCAGCGCCAGCACCTCCAGCCCCAGCACCCCCAGAACTAGCACCGCCAGTGCAAGCACCTCCAGCTCCAACACCTCTCGAGTCCACAGTAACCTGTCGCGGAAGTGCCGGAGGCTGCTGAGGGGACTGTGAGGAGGACTGCGGGGAGGGAGACGCTACCTGACGCGCGACCGAGGGTAGAGGGGTAGCGTGAGACACACCTGACGGGGCAGGACCAGGGGGGGGCGGGGGTACCGAAGGAGCGGGAGTAGGGGGAGGAGAGGGTGCGAGGAAGAGGGGGGGAGGGGGAACCGGGAGACCGCGACAGGGGTACTGGGTGTAGTAGGACACTGACTCGTCAAACCGGACGTCACGAGAGTCTAGAAACTGGTGGAGGGGCGGGTGGTAAAAGGAGTAGTCGGGAGAGCCTACCGGGAAACCAAGGAAGACACAGGGGATGACGCGAGCCGAGAGCTTGTCCGCAGAGGTGTCGCGGACAAGCGCAAGGCAGCCCCAGACACGAAAGGCCGACCCAGCACCAGAGGACCCAGTCCAAAGACTGGTCGGTGAAACCTCTGGCCGCAAGACACGCGGCTGGAGGTTCAGCTGGTGCGCGGCGTAGCGCAGCGCGTAGGGCCACAGAAAATGGGGCGCACGGGCATGGATCATGGACGTGCGGGCGATGTCCATGACCAAGCCAATGCGGCGCCCAGCAACCCCATTCTGCTGTGGGGACTTCGGCAACGTCCAGGACTGTCTGATGCCCTGCTCGCCGCAGAACCCGGCAAGGACGCCGGAGTGAAACCCACCCCCATGGTCGGAGTAGAGACAACGGACACGACTACCACGAGTGCCCTCAGTGGCCAGAAGCCACCGGATCAGCGTAGCAGTCACCTCGGACTTCTTCGCGAGAGGAAACACCGTGGTGTACCTGGAGTAGTCGTCAACGACCACTAGAAAGTAGCGCTCCCTCTCAGGTCCCAGCGTAGGGGCAGGGCCCCAGACGTCCAGGTGGAGAGTTTGGAAGGGAGCAGTGGCCGGACGAAGGGAGGAGGAGTGCGGAGTGG